CCTGTAATTTGCATCCTCAGGTCGGTCACAATCACATTTCGCAGTCGTTTTTCTATCTGCACCTCGACTCCAAACTTTTGTCGCAGTATGGGCACTAGCAAGACCTGAAACCCCGATGCAATCTCCCCGGAAAGGCCCATACAGATAGAGAGGACGACGCTTTCCTGTGCCACGGATGGCATTTGTGAGCCAGTCGTGCAGCCGCATTCGTTTTGCCTTGTCGGTTGTCCAGCTGTCTACTAGGCGACGCAAAATGGAGAAGCAGATGTGTTCGGCTTCAGCCTGTTCTTCTTTGGTTTGGCACTCTGCTGTGTGATCCACCAAGGTTTCGTACACTGCTGCCGAGTTTTCCCAAGAAGTGTCGTCACCTTCAGACAGCAAGTCTTCACGCTCCTTTTCGCAAGAAACGCACTGACGTCTCAGAAGTGTCTGCATCTTTTCCATGCGCTGAAGCAAGTCTGCTTTGTCGCTCTCGACAGCGCGTCGTGTTTCATACTCGTATTTCCACTGAGCTCGAAATCGCAGAAGTAGATCTTGCAACACGGACGCTTGTTGCTCCAGAAATCTCAGTCGTGAGCTGGTTCCATAGCCCACTGGACCAACAGTGCTGGCAGGTAACTCACCCAGGTTTTGGGCTTCTACTGGTGAAGACGTAAAGAGGTTAACAAAGGCTGTGCCACCCTGCGGAGGCTTTTTAGGAGAGCGAACTGTTCTTGATATCCCTTCCAAGAGCTTGAGATTTAGCACTTGTTGACCGAGATGATCCAGCTCAGCGACCAGGCGGTCGTTCTCGTCGCGAAGACTGAAGCGTTCCTCCAAAGCCGGATATGAGCTGTCAACTGGTATTATTTGAGGCGGTAAAGGGGCTGTGGAGGCATCTACTCGTCTCCAACTCCTGTCTCCCAGTCGGCGAGGCGAGTTGCGTGGTGATACGGGTATATCGTCGTCTCCTCTGGTAGTCACTGATCGCATCTCGTCTAGCTTTCTGGCGCACGGATCGTCTAAAGTTTCGTAGATTTCAATTGTATGGCGCAAACTTGCGATCAGTTCGCGCTCCTCTTCTCGTTCTTCGGCTGAAGAGGCAATTTCACGGGCTTGTTCTTCCACTTTTGCACGAAGTAGCTGCACTTCAAAGTCAGTCTCACGTAGTTGAAGCTGGAGCGGCTTGAGCTCTCCGATTTGCTTGTGAGCACTCGCAAGCTCCCTTCCTAGTACACTATTACGACGGTGTACCTCCTCAAATTTGGTCTCGACTTCAGAGTCACTTTCTAGTACGGTAGGCATGGAATTTCTTCTTACAGCCGGAATGAATTCCTGCTTGTCTGGACTACCACCGCTGTGCGCGGGTGAAGGTTCCTCCGACGAAGGAGGCTCATCTGCGGAGGGGAAACTTCCCAACGACGGGCCCAATTCTAGCTGCAGTTTGAGACGTGGAGACAAGCGCTTGTTGCGTCTCTTTCCAGGTGATCGGCGGTTGGTCTGAGCTTGTGTTTGAGCTTGGAGCTGCGTTTTCAACTCGTCTATCTGCTCTTTAACATTGCTAAGCTCGGATAATACTCCCTGATTCTCTCGAATGCACTCGCGCAGATGCTCGGACAGTTGTGTTTTCTGCTGCTCCTTCTCGGCTACGAGTCGAAGTAGTTCTTCCTTCTCACTCTCAACTTGTGCACATTGCTCTTGTAGCTGATGCAGCTCCTCATGCAGCTGTGCGTTCTCTTCGAGAAGGCGAATTCCAGCTCTAGCTGCGTGTTCGAGCTCCGTCTCTTCGTCATCTTCGCCTTCTTCGTCACTGTCTGGAAATTCTCCAGGGGCGTCTACTAAGTGTGATTCCTCAACGTCTACTGCGTCTGGAGTCTTAGAACCTTCACGACTCGCATCTCCGCTGCGCTCCGTTGTTGATGATCGAGTCATAACGAGCGCAGTGAGCTTCCTAGCAACAGATAATCTTCAGGGTAGACGAAACAATGCTATGGTCCATGCGCCTTTTCTTAATATAGACTAGAGAAGATCTTGAAGGGACTCGCCGTTAACCCCTCCAACCAGTGTTGGCAGTGAGTGTTTACATGTATACGTCCTTTAAAAAACACGTGTAATAACGCCTCAAAATACAGTTTATACGGTAACTACGGTTTATACGGTCTCAAAAGACACGGTACAGTGTACCAGTGCGCTTACAGACTGTATCTTAGAATCTCGAATAATAGCCCGTTGGGACAAGGCAATGCCTTCAGCATGCCTTAGGTATGCTGAGGTTTTTGCTACTTCAATGCTGTCGAGTCGACAGCTTCGAAAATTCGGCATTGCCATTGGCAATCTGCTAGTCGGCCGCAGACTGTGCCACAGAACTCACTTTGCAATTAGAGATCCAGAGTCAAGTCGTTCTCGTCAAATCTAAGGCTAAGGGCTAGTCGTCTCAACGGAGACTTAAAGCGGTACACAAATACGTATTCTGTAATAACCTCAGTTGTGCGCTCAACCGAAGCGTATGATGTGTGTTTTGTTTTTGCAGAGCAAGCGCACCATGGGTCGACCACCAAGTGCATCTCGGACCCATTTCGTTAAAGTTTCCGGCGTGAAGGCTAATAAGAGTCACTATTTCGTTCGCTGCAAGCACTGTCTCGCTGCCCATGCAGCTCGATCAAAAGCGCGCACGCTTCAAACTCCAACCAGCCGCGAGCCGGATTCCCCTTTGCCAGACACGATGGTTGGGAGAGTCGAGAATTTCAGGAGACACCTTTTGCACTACCATGATATCGTTGAGGAAGATGGTTCATCAGGAATACGACCTTTTCCACCGCCTCCACTAACCATGACCACGCTGCATCAGCGTCGGAAAGAGGAAGATAGCGATCAACAACGCCACACCTCCCTCTCTACCGATGAGTCGCTTTCAACTACGTACCTCCGCATGTATCCCCCCCAGCA